CCTTCTAATGCATCTGACGCTCGGTGTCCAACTCGGCCTAATAGAGGTCAAGCTCTGCCTTTAGGGTGCTCACTTCAGAAGACAACTTTTTCTCGGTTTCAGACGAGAAAAAAAAGCCGGTATGATCTTAAGAAAAAGACTGAGCAAAAAGAGAGAGAGAGAAAAAGGGCATAAGAACAAGACAAAGACGAACATCCAAAGAAAGAACTTTAGAAAAACTTACCTGGAGCTTTTCCCCAAAAGAAGTCGCAAAGGCTCCCCAGGCAGCAGTCAGCTCTGATAACCGATGAGTGGCGTCAACTGCTGCAGCACATCATCGTCCAAGCGCTGATCACCGGTTCCAAGAGGAGCAGAGGGAGAAGTCGCCCGATGCGAAGAAAGCAAGGCCAGGGCCATATCCTGGGAAGCCCCGGCTACCTCTTTAGAAGAACCCACCGCCGTGGCCACGGTCACTTCCGGAGCCACCGAGTTAGTAGCAACGTGATCTTCAGGGAACCCTGTCTCCCTCACAGCCACCTCGCCGACCATACATGCCAAGTCCCCAGACTCAGCACACAGAGGCGCATCAGAGGACTGACAAGAGGTCGGCGGAGGGTTAAGGGAAGGCGAGGGCCTACAAGACGATAAGGAAATTCGACAATAAGAATATAAATCAGGAAAAAGGAAAAATAAAAGCAAAGAAACGAAGCCTGGGCTCACTCACTTAGCAATCTTCTTCAAAAAAAATCCCCAGAACGAACAGAGGATCTCAGAGGAGGAACTATCGCAGCAAAGATATCACCACCACCCTACGACAAGAGTGGCGTGGTCGATACTAGAGCCCCAGAAGAACTCGAACCCAACGACCGCTTACTACAAGAGAACAAGACCAAAGTCAAAACAAAGAGAGGGGTTCAAACAACAGGAAAACAAGAAAACAACTCACCGACGAGTAACAAGGGCGGCATCATCATCCTCTTCTTCCTCACTCTCGGCCAAGGCCACCATAGCACCAGCTGAAAAAGGACAAAAGTACTCGGTCAAAGACAAAAATAAACAACAAAAGGACAAAGCGTATTAATATGCTCACCTAAGAGCATGCTAGCTACAACTAGAGTACCTGGATGAGTACTCGACTGGCGAGACTTCTTGGCAGTAGATAAAGCAGAAGAAGAACCCTCAGCTCGCCCCCTCTTTCCGACAGTACGAGGAGCTCGAGGAACTGGACGAGGAACATACTCTACATATACATCAAGGTTTGCAGAAGAAACGCCAGGAAATATTGTGGTGGTTTGAAACTTACTGGTCAAGGATGCCCCAGCAAGACTATCCCCAGCCTCCACATTTACAGGGCAATCATCAAGAGGAATCGGATCAGTGAAGTTACGCCCCAATTCCTAGGAAAGAGTAAAACAACAAGACAAGGAAGATTAAGCAAAAAGTGGATACAACAAAAGACACACAAAAGTACCTGAATAGGAAAAGAACAACTCACAGTAGGGGGGTTGTTAGCACTGTACTCAAGGACAGCAAGCGGGACGATGCTCACTCTTTTCAGCATCTTCTGAAGATGCTCGAGCACCTCCTCATCAGTCAACTCAAGGGCAGGAACCATACGAGAAGGGTCCTCCGCCCCAGAGTACTCAAAACCATAATTTTCCCACTCCTTCAGAGGTTGAACTCGCGGCGAAGAAAACTAGAAATAATCCTGAAGCCGGTCAAGCCTTGCTGTTTTAGAGTACAAATCCTCTCAAGAAACAGCTTGATCGCCTGAACCTCAGCTGTCGTCACAGGGTTCTTATCCCATCGGTCATTAACCAAGGAACCAGATCTAGAATGAACAGCAAGAGGAGGAATCAAATTGGCGGCGTAAAACCAGTCGACACGCAAATCCCTCATAGAATCAACTAGGTCATAGTCAAAGAATTTGCTCTTAAGACCCTGGCAAAACTAAATCCCGCAGCCACCAAGAACGCTGGTGTCATCACGGCGAGGTTGTGGCTTCAAACGAAAGAAGTAACGAAAGAGAGAAAGAGAAGGAGGAATTCCAAGGAAAGTTTCACAAAGATGAACAAAGACAGAAAGATGAAGGACAGCATTGGGAGCAAGATGATTCAGGCTAATCCCAAAATAGCTGAGAAACCGATGAAGAAAAGCAGAAGCCGGGAGGTAGAGTCCGGCATGGATAAAGGAGACGAAAAGAATAATCTCACCAGGACCTGGAGCAGGCACCCGATGCTCACCTGGAGCTCTCCAATCAGCAATATCCTTGCTCTGGATCAGGCCATCACTGACAAGCTCATGCAGCTGATCCTCAGTTGTAGTCGGAGCCAGCCAGATCTTCTGAGCGGCCCTCATGGCCATGAACTCTTGATTCTCGATCATGGAAAGCGAGGCCTCCTCATCCACAAAGGCTGCCTAGGACTTGCTCGCTGACTTCTTCCTACCCATATACTAGCGGAAGCAATAAAAGCACTAAGGGAAGGTGATGCTCAGGTGGCGGCGCTCAGATGACGGTGACAATGGCGGCGGTGGAGTGTTTAAGACTAGGGTTTCAAGGAAAAAGTAAGGCATTAAAGAAAAAGAAGAACAAAGGCCTTTAAAAAGATTTTACAGCAGTAAAATGCGGCCCACTGGGCCCGTTTTAACACGGCATGAGAACGCAACGGTCCATTTACTGACACAGCTAAAATGACGGACGGCACAAATCCACACAACGGTACAGTTCAACGGGCAGATTTTAGACTTATCCATCCAGCACCACGGCGGAGTTATTATATTGCTATAAAAAGAACCCATCAACCATGAAGCAATGAAGGGTTACCTCACAAGGAACATAAGAACCCAGTTCTTATAGAAAGAACTCGGGGATCTCATAAACAATCAGAACTTCACCAGAAAAAAGAATGACAATTCAGAAGACAAGATTCTTTCCATTACAAATGGCTTCAAAAAATATAAGATTACACATCTTACAAGACCCAACGAACTCGGTACTACAACAGGCATGGTAGCAAAGAGGAACCTAGACACAGCTAGGCTCTGGAAAGACTATGTGTTCCAAATTGCTACTAGGTAGAACAAACCGCACTCGGCGACACTGTTTTCTTCAAAGGACGGACGTAGTGCATCCAAGGCGGAAATCAGTAGCTCGGCGAGACAACATAGACCAGGGGAATCCGGTAGGCATCTGTCTACCCAAGTCCGATGTGATGCTGGATATGGTGTTGATCTGCACCGGATAGTCTTAGGGCAGACAAAGAGGATCAACCCAGAACTATTGGATGAAGGAACGTATCCCACATCACAAGACTTCCTCCAACTACCGCCACGTACTTCCAAGTACAATGTCGCTGCGGGATTAGTCTACCTCTAATTCCTATCACAAGACTCCCTCCAGCTATGAAAAGATACACAAGAACTACAAAATACGCCCGGGGCTGCTCTACTTCACAAACTATCATATTCATGACTACGGAGATTTTAGACCACGCAACAAAATGCTCGATGAATCAAAACATCACACCAGGAGGGTATTTATAGACCAAAGAAGCGGTGCACAAGGACCGGGAGCATCAATGGAACAAACCTAATGAAGGACATAGTGAAAAGACAGAATTCAATGAAAGAAGACTCAGGCGTGAAGGAGCAGTACTCAAGAACGAGCATATTCGGAAGAATATACCAACATTGTACAACTCGTGGCCAAACAACATTTACTCTCAACTACCACCATACAACTACATCTGACAATAGCAGACTACCAGAGAACATGCCAAGATCCTATATCCGAGTTCTTTTCGAATAAAAGAACCTAGGTATAAGCTTGGGGGCTACAACAGGAGAGGTTTTCAGTTCTTTGAACAACTCAGATTCAGGACCCTCCAACTCTTTGTTCCAAATAGCAAGAGGCTCGGGGGCTACACTCAGTGAGTGAACTTTTTCTTCAAAAAAGCGCACATCACTCAGAAGACTTATTCAAGACAGCAGTTTTCAAACAACATAAGATTCAAGACCCTCCAACTTTTTGTTCCAAATAGCAAGAGGCTCGGGGGCTACACTCAATGAGTGCTCTTTTTTCTCCAAAAAAGTGCACATCACCAAGAATACTTCTTCAAGACAGATCACTTCAAGACATCATGACAAAAAGAACCCGGACCTAGCTATATCCGAGCTCTTTTTGATAAAGAACGTGGGTATATGCTCAGGAACCCAATGACAAAGAATCAGAGTGATTTCAAGAGAAGACCCTCTAGCTCCTTGTGCTAAAAAGCAAGAGGCTCGGGGGCTACACCCAAATGGGAGTACTTTTTTCTTCAAAAAGGTACACATGACACGAAGATCTCACGAAGCGCTACACGGTTTCGCTCTAGAAAGCACTCGAACAACGCTTGATCCTGCTCGGCAAGAACTAAAGGAACAAGACGAGGCTTCTAGAGCTCAACCATGAAGTGCTCGGGGGCTTGTCGGTGCGGGACCCACGGGATACCCGGCAAGGAAGGGAGAAGATCTAGTCTAACTAGGATTCTTCCCATGTAATCCTAGTAGTAGTATTATTCTGTAATCCTACTAGGAACCCTTATTGTAAACCGACTAGGACTCTGGCCTCCTGACTATATAAAGGAGGGTAGGGTTCCTAGAGACGAGACGACACAACACTTCACAATCAATCCAACGCAAAGGCTAACGTCGACTGGACGTAGGGCTATTACTCGATCAACGATCGAGGGTCCGAACCAGGATAAATCGACTGTCTCTTGCGTTCACCATCGAGTTCTGCAAACGCCGAAGCCCAAACAAACTGCCCCAGGTACCCTCGTGGTAGGCTATCGGTGGTAAAACATCGACAGCGGTCTAGGAATCACCCCTACAAATGCATGATTTGTAGAGACGGTTTGGTAGGGGCGGCTGGCCAAACCACACCTACAAATGGTCTTGAGCCGCCCCTACAAACCCTGTGTGACATAGTGCGCGACCGTGTCGGTGGCGTCGCTGGTGAACTCGTTGGTCTCAACGTTGCGCTACCACGCCTCGACATGGCCGGTGTAGGTGATCGACAAGAAATGGCCACCGTGGTGTATGGCGTCCTCGACGCCGTCGTGGGAGGGCGCCATCCTCCACACGGGGTCCTCCTCCTCCGCCATTGCAAAGGCCCAGTCCATGATGAGCATGGCGGCGTAGCTGTCGGGGCGCGGTGACACAGAGAGGACGACCTTGCGGTAGAAGACCTGCCGCATCTGGGTGGCTTTGTACATCGACGTCCTCAGCCAGCCGCGACCTTCGAGTTCCGATGGGGGTGAGCATCTGAAATGGATCTGCCGAAAGGGGTCTACGTCGAGGCAGAACCAGCTGACGCCAAAAACCAGGTGGAGGAACGGGATGGTGGAGATGGCTGGCAGGTCGGCGTGCACCCCGGTGACTGGGTTAGCCACGCGTATGGCGCCTCGCTCGTCTGTCGAAACCGGTGGTGACCGCCTTATATGTTGTGGAGATTGTTGGGGTTTAGTCCCACATCATGTAGCGATGGTGAGGGAGCATAACATATAAGGTGGGAGAACCCCCAACCCCACATCGTGTAGCAATGGTGGGGTAGCACAACATATAAGGCGGGAGAACCTCCACCTCCGGTGGACTGATTTTCATTCATATCCCGGGAACATTTCCACACCCATCCTGATTTTCATTCAGATGAAAATTTTCATTCATATCCCGGGAGCATTTCCACACCCATCATGATTGTCATTTAGACCGAAAGAGCTAAGCATTGCAGCGAAGACCGTCATGATAACGAATCCATTCGATATTCTATGGAATCAATATCAGCATTGCGACCCATCCTGATTGTCATTCAGACCAAAAGAGCTAAGCATTGCAGCGAAGACCGTCGTGACATAACGAATCCATTTGATATTCTATGGAATCAATATCAGCATTGCGGTGCAGACCGTCGTGACATAACAAATCCATTCGATATTCTATGGAATCAATATCAAGATTTATTAAAACTAAAAGCAGCATTCCATCCAGCAGACCAAGTCAGGGAGAAATGGCAGATTGGTATAGGGGATTTGACCTACTCTTAAGAGAATAGAATCATCCTTTTTTTGAGTCAAAGAAAGCTAAGCTTATGAATGAATTGTGTGCTCTGAGGAACCTAAGATTGCAAGTCAGCTTCAAGATCGAGAACTCGGTAGTCATCACCGATTCCAACATCGTCGACCATCACGAGCAACCCATGGCGACGTCTGAAGTGCGCACGGACACGGATTTCCCGCTGGCCAATGACAGGATCGTTGCCTTCTCATCGTACTCCTGGGGTCCGAGGAGGAGGAGCCACGGCGTCTCTAGTAGGTTTTGCCCCGACGCGCGGTGGATCTCGGCCAGCAGCTCGGGCGGCAGGCGTTGGAACGGGGCAGCTGTGGTGGCCCACTACTCAGAGGCCAACTGGTTCTTCTCCCTCTATAGCTGGAGGCGGCGGCGGCGGCGCGTACCGGCCATGGTTTGTTTCGAGAACCTGGATTCCTATGTAGGGCACGATGGTCTGCTTATATATTGCCGATGCGCACGTCGGTGGACTTGGATCTATCCGTCCCAAATTTTTTTCCTTGCCTGATGAAACATATACCATACCAACTTAGGTGCTAAAATAGAATCAAATCAAACTGCAAGACAATGCATGCCTTTTAAAACTATAACATTTTTCATGCCATCCAAAAATATAGTTTTTCCTCACTGCCATCTATTTAGATTTTTCTTCAAAAAAAATGACACCGCTTTTGGCTTTAAGCATACTCCAAACATATAACGCTGTCGGGGACCAATACCAGGGTACCCGAAGAGGAGGAGCTAATAACCATCAACATTGATTCATCCGAGCAGTCAAGAGTGCGACTATAGCTCCACCCGACCTCCAAGTACGCAAACTCCGCCTCGCCCGACCCCTGAGGGTTGGCTCCACCTTGCCCAACACTGAGGCCGTGGGCTCCGCCTCGCCCAACCCCTGAGGGTGGCTCCGCCTCGCCCGACACCGAGGCCGTGGGCTTCGCCTCCCCTGACCCCTAAGGGTTCGCTCCGCCTCGTCCGACACAGAGGCCATGGGCTCTGCCTCACCCGACCCCTAAGGGTGGGCTCCACCTCATCCAACACCGAGGCTGTGGGCTCTGCCACGCCCAACCCTTGAGGGTGGCTCCACCTTGCCCGACACCGAGGCCATGGGCTCCGTCTTGCCCGACGGAGACCCATACCGCCACCGACCGCTCCAGGTCCAAGCGCATGGGCCTGGGTCAAAGCTCTCACACCAGGGAGGTGACCGCACGCCCCGATATAACCCGTGGCCATGATGGGCCATACCTAAGGATTCACATCAGGAACAGCGTTGGTCGAACAGGTGCTGTTCTGCCTAACCCTCATACAAACACTGACAGGCGCGTTAGTTCGCCACGATGTCCGCCAGGATAGAGTGGAGTGCCATGATCGGGAGATGACGTCTACGCATGGCGCCAGTGACGGATAGGGCCGCGACGTGAAGCTGTCTCTGTTGACGTCTACAGGGTCGACGGGACCCGCATAGAGGAAAAGAAGGACCCGGCGATCCTAAAGGACTTCTTCGCCTTCTAACTCTCCTTTTTTCCCCGCTGTAACCCTTGCTTTCCCTTGGCCTATAAAAGGGAAAGCAGGGCATCCCATTAGCGAGCATCAGACCAACGATCGGAACTCATCGCAACACACCACAGGAGACTCGAATCCAATCAATTCATCGAACCCCAAACATACAACCGAGCAGCAACCGAGCTCTCGGCACCCGTTCATCCTTTCCATCAGAGACTTGGGACCTGTCCCTCTCTTGTCCATTTGTAACCCCTACTACGAACTTTCAGTGCTAGTAACACGAGCAGCAGCAACAAACTAGACGTAGGGACATTCTGTCCGAACCAGTATAAACATCGTGTCCTCTTAGCACACCATCCGAGCCAGACGAGCGATATTAGAAATTTACTTGTTGGTGGCAACTCGAAACACCGACAGCTGGTGCGCTAGGTAGGGGCCTTTTGCGTGTCTCGACATCCACACTAGGCCTCGGATGGCTAGTCACAACCTCAGCTGGGTCCTAGGCATGCACGTGCGCTTCGGGGACCTAGACTTCATTGTCATGTTGGAGGGAGAGTTGGCGATGGCTCCCGCCGCCCTCCCACCTCTCCACTCCGCCGGCCTCGACGCGATCGCCGAGGCACTTGAGGAGCTACAACTACACGCATCAGAGGCCCACGCCTCCAAGAGCAACCAGCTCCTCGACTTCGACTACGAGAGGTTAGAGCGCTAGCTCGGTGCCTTCCTAGGGCCCTGGCCGTCCCGAGAAGACCTGCGCCACCTCACCTTCTCATTCGCCAACATCATGGCATAGCTTGCCGGAGGGGAGCCACTCTCTCTGGCATACCTCATCCGGAGCGCTCCGACAGCGCTCTCGTTCGGCCTCCGCAATACTGTAGAGACCGATGGGCACCTTGTGGCACGACGCACGCCTCTGTCCCCACGAACGATGAGTTTGTGGGGATGACCGAATATGTCACGGAGTCTTTCCACGACCTCCTCGCGGGAGAGTCAGAGTCGCCCTCTGGCTCTGACTCCTGTAGGGGGAGTCATCACCCCTCTCATGAGTGTTTCATGGCAGGTATCCCTGAGGGACACGTCGAAAGCATCCATGAAGAGGAGGCTACCCCGACGAACGATCTCGACGACGAGGTCGAGGGGGAGATGGGGGCCCATCCCGCCTACAGGTGGAGCAACTAAAGGCCCAGCACCTAGAGCTCGAGGAAGCACAAGTCTAGCTCTAGCAGGAACACGCGGAGCTCGATCCAGAGATCGAGCGCCATGGAGACGGTGGGCATGCGCATGCCATGGCCTATGACGTGAACCAGAGGATCATCACTGACGATGAAGCCCTCCCACACTTCGTCCGGGCAAGCCAGAACATCGCTGCTACGGTGGCCTTGCTCCGTGGGCTTCCAAGGTCCGTGACACCTAAGGATCGTCGTGCCCACCTCGAGATTCGCACGCTGCTCGAGCGTGCGGCGGTGCAGTAGGCCGACCACAACCTTGTAGTAGGCCGAGAGCTCACTGTCTCGGTGACGTGAGCTCGACGCCAGCCAGCGCATGCCCTCAGAATGAACCGACAAGGTTGCATCAATCCACCAGGCACCACAAGGCGGCAGGCAGCGCACCGCGGTCCTAGTGCATGAGCGTCTTGGCCACAACCATGATGCACATGACACCCTCGACGCCCGCAGATGCACCCGCGATGAGCCAAGAGAGGGAGCTAGCCACGGCTATCACCCTCGTCGTGGCAGACGCTACGACAGTGGCGAGGATTGAAGCCTGAGCCCTAGCCTCCCGAGGCCTCAGGCCTTCGATCGACACATCCTCAACGCCGCCTTCCCGCCAAGGTACCGACCACCAATCAACATCCCGAAATACTCTAGGGAAACGAACCCCAGACTGTGGCTCAAGGATTATCGGCTTGCCTGCCAAGCCGGTGGAGCGGATAATGATGATTTCATTATCCACAACCTTCCATTGTTCCTGGCCGATTCGGTGCGAACATGGTTGGAACACCTTCTAAAACCAGGATGCCACGGGAAGAATCACGAAGTGGGCACTCGAGCTGATGGGTCAGGGCATTACGTATGCCTCCCAGACGGTCATCAAGTCCCAAGTGTTGGCTGATTTCGTTGCAGAGTGGATCGAGGTCCAAATGCCACCAGCAATCGTCGACCAAGATTACTGGACAATGTAATTCGATGGATCGCTGATGAAGAAAGGCATCAGTGCGGGGCTGGTATTCATTTCACCCCTTGGGGTACGTATGAGGTACATGGTCCGCATCCATTTCCCCTCCTCCAACAATGTGGTCGAATATGAGGCTCTCATCAATGGCCTGCGCATCGCCATCGAGTTGGGCATCCGATGCCTCGACGTCCGGGGCGACTCCCAACTAGTCATCGACCAAGTCATGAAGGAGTCGACCTGCCATGACCCCAAGATGGCTGCATATTGCCAAGAAGTTCGCCAGCTGGAGGACAAGTTCAACGGCCTCGAGCTCAACCACATTCTAAGGCGGCCGACACGCTGGCAAAAGCGGCGTCGGACCGAGAGCCGGTGCCAACGGGTGTCTTCGCCAGCGATTAGCACAAGCCCTCGATTCGCTACGAGGGGCCGAAACAAGCCGGTGACTGGCCACCCGCCCTGGGCTTGAGGGCTGGCCAACTGTCGGCTCCATCCGACCCAGAAGTCATGGAGCTCGAAGAGGACCCAGCGACAGAGCCTGACCCTCTGGTCGACTAGAGGAGCTCTACCTCGACTACCTCCTCCATGAGGCGTTGTCGATGGACAAGATGGAGGCTCGACAGCTCGCGCGTCGCGCCAAGTCCTTTGTCCTTGTTGAGGGTGAACTCTACAAGCGAAGCCACACTGGGATCCTGCAGTGCTGCATCCCCATCGAACAGGGGAAGCGTTTGCTGAGCGATATCCACGGTGGGGTCTGCGGTCACCATGCCGCACCTAGAACCCTGGTCGAAAACGCGTTCTGATAAGGCTTCTACTGGCCAACCGCAGTAGCTGATGCCGAGCAGGTTGTGCGCACTTGCGAAGGGTGTCAGTACTACGCTCGGCAGACTCATCTACCAGCCCAAGCACTCCAGACGATCCCCATCACATGGCTGTTCGTGGTCTGGGGGCTCGATCTGGTCGGACCTCTCAAAAGGGCGCCGAGGGGCTACACCCACTTGCTTGTCACCGTAGACAAGTTTACAAAGTGGATAGAGGCTCGACCAATCTCCGCGATTAAGTTCGAGCAAGCCGTGCTGTTCTTCCTCGACATCATCCATCGCTTTGGAGTCCCGAACTCCATCGTCAAGGACAACGGCACACAGTTCACCGGAAAGAAGTTCCTCCGATTCTACGATGAATACCACATTCGGGTCGATTCGGCCGCTGTGGCGCACCCCCGCACGAATGGGCAGGTCGAGCGCGCGAACGGCATGGTCCTACAAGGCCTCAAGCCTAGGATCTTCAACCGGTTGAACAAGTTTGGCGGACGATGGGTCGCGGAGCTTCCTGCGGTGCTCTAGAGCCTGAGTACGACCCCCAGCCGGGCCACCGCCTACACACCATTCTTCATGGTCTACGGTTTCGAGGCTATCCTCTCGACCGACCTCGACTATGGAGCGCCAAGAGTCAGGGCGTACGGCGAACAGGGAGCCGAGGCGTCCCTCGAGGACGCCATGGACTAGCTGGTTGAAGCGCGCGACGTTGCCCTCCTCCGCTCGGCTAAGTACCAGCAAGCGTTGCACCGGTACCACACCCGGCAGTGCTGGCATGTTCTGGCGTAGTGTAGTTTGGAGATCCCTTAGGACTGTTTTCACGAGAGTCTACCGTGTACTGTTGAAACTAGCCTAGGCTAGCTAATTTTTTAACCTAGATGACCTAGTTTTGGCTGTCCGAGATGCAAATCAAATTTTTCTCTAGAAACTCATCTGATCTCGTGGAAACTTATAAATTACGTGTGAAATAAGTTTCCTATTAAGATAAGATCACCCCTCTATTTATATAAGAGGATCATGGCCAATTAAAAAATCCAGCTATTCAATCATAAAAAAAACCAATCTATCTTACTTTTATCTCTTGCCTCAAGCTCCCCAAACCTCTTTGCTATCCAGCACTTCTCTCGATAAGATTTGCCATTGTTTTAGGTGGCCTTGCCAATCATAGAACACTAGCTCCTCCCTTATGGTTCTTTTCGTGTTTCGTGCGAAGAACGAGCGTCAAATCAGTCTTGCTGACCTGCTGGCCGGTATTGTCGTGTTTAGGCCTACCTTCGCTGCTTATCTTGGTCGTGTGCGCTAGTGTGTTGGTGGGGTTTAGCGTTAACAGATATTTAGAGGAAATTTTGCATCAGGATGCACGCTATAAGAGGATATGGTCTTAATTTACATTGGTTCATCTTCCTCTCTTCTTCTCTTTTTCTAAATGTGGAGAATAATTAACTCGTAGTATATTTAATATAATCGGGATGTTTAATTGTATTTAATGGTCCTATAATAACCCAATCAAATCCAACAATCTCATTGAATCATATATTTTTATTTGTATCCGGGGTCCATTAGGATTGTTAAGTGAATTTAATCTTGTTCATGCGGAATCATTTTTTTTCCGGCCTATGAGACCATTTATACTATTCTTAACATGTACTAGTAAACTTTATAAATAGTCACATCAGACGAATTTCAATATCCAAATACTTAAGCACATGTGTTTCAATCAGGAAAGCACCAATAACAAATCCCTACGTTATAAAGACCAAATAAAAGTAGTAATAACAAGTTTTTTACTCAAATGAAACTACATGGTAGATCAAAAACGGTAGTACAGTATAATTAACTAACAGAAGTAAAACAATTTTATTACGTCTAATTAAGCAACGAGAAAAAAAGGGATCCGTGCAGGTGCACTGCTTGCAGTAGTGGTCACAAGAAGGAAGGCGTGAACCACACTGGCGGCGGACATAGCCGATGCTTGCCGACCGCACCTATCTTCTCTACCCTGCCGGCCTTTAGGCTATAGACGCCAACTTCCCTGAGCTCGTCTATGAGCTCAGTGTCGTCGGAATATGAGTTCTCGGAGGTGGCGCTACGCATGCGCAGGCAGGCACCCCGGACCTCGTCGTCAGTGAAGTAGACGCAGCCGGGCATGATGCCCTGGTGCTCCCTCGTCGACAGGCACAGCGATCCATTAGCGCCGACGAAGATTGCGGCGTCGCCAATGTCTGCCGCCTCCTCCCACCGGCCTTTGTCGTGGTCCAGTATCTGGACCTTGAAGAAGACGCGTGTGTTCTTGGAGTTGGAGCGGTACCGACGGCTAGGGTTTTCCTCATCCCTAGAGTGTTTGAGCACGACCATCAGCCGCCCGTCCGTTGACACGGCGACGTACTGCGGCGCAGGTGTTTGTCCTCGTAAGCCAGCCTCGGCGCGACCGCCTCGCTGGTGAACTCGCCGGTTTCGATGTGGCGCTGCCACGCCTCGACGTGGCCGGTGTAGGTGACGGACAAGAAGCGGCCGTTGTGGTGTATGGCGTCCTCGACGCCGTCGAGGGAGGGCGCCATCCTCCACGCGGGGTCCTCCGCCGTCGCGAAGGCCGGGGCGCCGATGGACCGGTCCATGATGAGCATGGCGGCGTAGCTGCCGGGGCGCGGCGACGCGGAGAGGACGACCTTGAGGTAGAAGACCTGCCGCATCTGGGCGGCCTTGTACGTCGACGTCCTCGCCCTCGGCCAGTCTTTGTGTTCCGGCGGTGGCGGCAAGCCTCCGAAACGGATCTGCAGGAAGGGGTCTACGTCGAGGCAGAACCAGCCGCCGTCGGAAACCGGGTGGAGGAACGGGACGGTGGCGATGTGGCCGACAGGTCGGCGTGCGCCCCGGTGACCGGGTTAGCCATGCGCAGGGCGCCCCGCTCGTCGACCGTCACGAGCCACCCGCCCGAGGAACCGATGGCGACGTGGCCACGCATGGCAACGTCCGAAGTGCGCACGGACGCGGATTTCCCGCTGGCCAGGGACAGGATCGTGGCCTTCTCATCGTACTCCTGGGGTCCGGGGAGGAGGAGCCACGGCGTCTCCAGCAGGTTTTGCCCCGACGCGCGGTGGATCTCGGCCAGCAGCTCGGGCGGCAGGCGTTGGAACGGGGCAGCTGCGGCGGCCCACTGCTCAGCGGCCAACTGGTTCTTCTCCCTCTGCCGCTGGAGGCGGCGGCGGCGTCGCGTACCGGCCATGGTTTGTTTCGAGAATCCGGATTCCTGTGTAGGGCACGACGGTCTGCTTATACATTGCCGATGCGCACGTCGGTGGACTTGGATCTATCCGTCCCGATTTTATTTTTCTTTGCCTGACACGTATACCATACCAAGAGTTTTCAAAAAGCGAGCACGAGCCCGACTCGGAAACAGGGTACGGATGTAATCTCCACGCGCCATGCTTGCCATGTCCGGCGCCCAGGGCATCCGCGTGATGCCCAGGGATGCCGCGCGCCAGCTCGCGCTGCGTCCACCGCGCCGCCGCCGCGCTGTACCGCCATGCCGCACGACGGAGGTCCGAGGCCGTCATCGCCGAAGGAGAACCTCACGGCGCCCACGGTGGGGAACGCCGTTCGCCCGTGCCATCGCCCTAACGGAGGCCGACCCAGGGACGCCTCGGCGGGGTACCGCCGTACCGGTCGTCCCGCCACACGCCAGTGGCAGGGGCTGCTTCGTGGCTTCGCCATGGCCCATGCTGCGGTCGTCCCCCCATGCCATGACCAGGGTCCAGACCTCCGCGCGCCGGAAGCAGTAGCCTCCTCACTGCCACGCAGCTCGTTGCCGGAGAAGAGAGAGAGGAGCGCCACGGGGACGCGCCGAGCTGGGAACTGCTGCTCCCCCCTCGTGAGTGAGGCCAGCGTGGCAGGCTGGGGAGGGGACGACCGACGGCGGCGCGTTGTGGAGCAACGCCGGCGCGGCCAGGGAAGGAGCACCCGACTACGGTGCTGGCTTGGGGCGGGTCAGGGAGAGAAGGCAAGACGGCGTGAAGGTGCGGTGGCGGCGCGTTGCACATGGTCTTCTCGGTGGCGAGAAGTTTTTTACTTGTTTTTTCAGCCGAAACAATATTTTTTCCAAACAGCCAAATCAACTAAAAATTTTCAGCGAAGCCAACGAGACCAAAGAGTCAAAGGAGGTGAGAGAATATGAAGGCGACGAGTAGTCCACTCGTCCGTGCATTGAGGAGGTAGGGGCTGCTGGATGCCTGGATCTGCGGCGGGAAGATAAAGGTGGATAGAAGAAAATAAAAGAAAAAAAGTGAGGTAAAAATAGAGGAGAAAATGGGAAAAAATGCAAGGGTACTACAATCAATCTATCATTTATAACAACTAGAAGAAGTTGTTTTACACAACGTTTACTCAAAACTGCTTCAAATCTAGCAGAGAATCTACTCGATCATAGAAACAATAGTTAGAGTTGTTGAGTTTGGTTTGGTGAATTGATGAAATCATAAGTGCTAACCTAGTTTATCTAAGTGATTATGAGATAGGTGGCACATTTTAAGTGGTGAAGCAAATGGTGATGATTATGTTGATGGTGTGACCATGGTGATGATCAAGTGCTTGGACTTGGAAAAGAAGAAAGAGAAAAACAAAAAGTTAAAGGCAAAGGTGATATCCATAGGAACTTTTTGGTTTAGTGATCAAGACACTTATCGAGTGTGATCATATTTAAGATCGATAGCCGTACTATTAAGAAGGGTGAAACTCGTATCGAAATACGGTTATCAAAGTGCCACTAGATGCTCTAACTCATTGCATGTGCATTTAGATCTAATGGAGTGCTAACACCCTTGAAAAGGTTTGTAAAAATATGCTAACACACGTGCACAAGGTGAAACACTTGGTGGTTGGCACATTTGATTAAGGGTCGCGAAGTTGGAGAAGTGGAGGAGTTGTTTTTCACTGACCGAAAGCTGGTGTCGAAGTGACCGGACTCGCTGGTTGTTTGTCTAGTCAATTATAGTGAAGATGGCTTGCTCAGGCTCGGTCTGCCGGTTGACTGGACGCTGCACAGTAAATGTGACCGGACGCGCAGGGCCTGCGTCCGGTCACAGGTGACGTACGCTGACATGAGCGGTTTAGCCAGCGAGAAGAAGACCTGACGCTGGGCGCATCTGGTCGCTCCTGATCGGATGCGTCCGGTCATCAATTTGACGCTCTAGAATCTCCCTGTAAATGACCTGATGCTGGGAAGCTGCGGGGAGCAGTGCATCCGGTGACTGGGTGCAGATGTTGGCGCGCGCGTATGCTAAGTACGGATCGGCGCGTCCGGTCCTTGTGGCTGTGCGTCTGATCATAACTTAACGCGAGTGCGGGCTGCTTCGACAGTTGGGATCGGTCGACAGAGGTTTAAAGCGGGGGACGCGTGGCGCACATCCAGCAGCCGGATGCTAGGGGTCTGCGTCCGATTAGCTCGACCGGTGAGTCTGGTCGCCCAATTTTTTAGTGGACTGAGGGGACAACGGCTCTATTTCGATGGAGCCTCTATAAAAGGTGTTTGGCCGGCTCAAACTTACTCTCTTGGTTATTTGTATTGACATAGTAACCTTGTGAGCTTAGCCAAAGTCCTCCCACTCATCTTCATCATTGATTCATCATCTTTGTGAGATTGGGAGAGAATCCAGGTGCATTGCTTGAGTGATTGCATCTAGAGGCACTTGGTGTTCGTGTTTCGCTGCGGGATTCGCTTGTTTCTCTTGGTGGTTGCCGTCACATAGACGGCTTGGAGCAGCGAGGATCGTCGAGCGGCGAAGGTGCTTGTCTCTGGCTCCGATCGTGGCGATTGTGAGGGGTTCTTGACCTTTCCCTGACGGAGAGCCAAAAGGTACTCTAGTGGATTGCTCGTGGCTTATGTGATCCTCATCTGGTGTTGGTTGTGCGGCACCTTATTGAGGGTTTTGCGTGTGATGCCAATTAGCGTGTGAACCTCTAAGTGAGTGAATCGCCACAACGAGGACTAGCTTGTCGGTAAGCAAGTGAACCTCAGAAAAAAAAATCTTATGTCACCTTGTCCAAGGATTTTATTGGTTATCTTGTGATTGATTGATTGGCTCTATCTTGTGATTGGCTCATACCTCGACACGTCGATATAATCATCGCCGTGCTTTCTTGTATTACATTCTTAGTGTGTAAGCTAAGCTCTTTAGTGTAATTAGTTTTGAGAGTTAGCTTACGTTGGGACTAGTGGTTAGTGAAGCTCTTTAGTTAGTCTTTGAGAGCTCACTAACTTAGTGTACTGACAGAGCCATTGTGTGGATAGGGACTATAGCAATTAGAATTGTGGTAGGTGGGTTGTATTTTTAGTAGGCTAGCGCTACACTCGCTTCACCATTTATTTGACTAACCACATTACTTAAGTATTATTATAAAAAAATTTATAGACTATTCACCCTCTCTAGCCATTAGTATCTTTTAGCTGTCATAACTGAAGTTATACCAAACGAGCCCTAATGTATGGACGGAAGTAGTTCGGAGACGGTGAGCAGGTCATGGGGCAAATAAAAGGTGTCAGATACATGTTGTGGCTCCTTGAAATTTCTAACTTGGGTAGCACGTGGCTTAATTGAGCGGTTATGTATTCGTAGAAACGGCTGTATAAATAAAACCATTTCTGATATAAAATATGAAGGTCTATATAAATTATTTTTTAGCAGTGGTTACTGGTGATGGGAGTCTGCGGCGTGCGCGTACCATGCGTCATGATCGGTGCCGGCATGAAGCAGGTGGCTGCAGCAACTGCGAGGGCTACTTAATTAACTGCTGGTGCTTGTCGTGATGAAATCTATTGCCGTAGACGTGTAAAAACAATATTGACTCCATTGCAAGGACGTACTATTTGAATACTACTACTTGCTGTGACCAAGGCCTCGTTCAATTTGAAAAAAAAGTGAACCCAATGAATAGTACCATTTTCATCTTATTTGGTAAATATTGTCTAATCGTGGACCAACTAGGCTCAAAAGATTCATCTCGTGATTTCCAACTAAACTGTATAATTAGTTATTTTTTTATCTACATTTAATACTTCATGCAAGCGGCTAAAAATTGATGTGATGGAGAGAGAGTGAAAAAACTTGGAATTTGGATGGCATCTAAACAAGGCGCAAATCTATCGCCGTAGGCATGTAGAAAAATCCATAACCCGATACAACATACGGGGATTTATCTAGTCATATACTATTTCTAAATTATCCTAGCCACTTGTATATATTTTTTTTTCTCTGGTACATTTACATCAAAAATTATTTCATATTCTTTATTTTTTCCCACGCTCTTCCACCCTACATTGGGAGACTGATACATGCGCTTTTCCACGCGTGGATATATCCGTGCTTTTCAAGTGCCAAAAGATTGGAAGGTGTGATTGGGATCTCTTGAAGATGGATTTTTTCTATTCTTGCTAAAAATCATAGATTGAGAGGTGTTGACGGTAGTTAACAACCATTATAAATCGTCAATATAACATACATAAGGGTATAAATATAATCACCAACGAAGATCTAGAGGTTTAAACTAACAAATTCCACGAGTTTTGGTAAATATGTATTTTCTACAGGGTTTATCCAAAAAACCGTCAAGGTGGACCAAGACGTCAGACTTAATCGCGCTTATCCACAGTGAAAACAACCCTAGAAGATTCCAGAAGATTCGAAAGGACTCCACACAGAAGCGGAGGGCGAGACGCCAGCCCCACCTGCAAGCCGCCCGGCCCCTAGGGCCCACCTGTTAGCCCCCGTTGTTATGTCGGTTCTCCACCGCCTCCTAGATTGCATCTATGCCATTTATTCAAGTCGGTTTGATCCGATGGCTCAGGATTGACGCTCTGGCCTATATATACCAGCCCCTACCACCCCCTGAGGAATAAGTCATTTGAGAAGACAGAAACCCTAATCATCCTCAGAGTTTCACCATATTTTAGGACATAGCTAGTTAGGTTAGGTTTAGAGGAAGGTAAGCAGGTTTTGCTTGGATTCCTGATCGTGTCAAGAATGTGGTTTGATATAATCTTTGTACCCCCTCTTTTTTGTATCTCTCTTTACTTTTATATGTTTGCTACAATTGTTATGACAACATTATTCATATCGTTTATGTTCCTAGTCATCATGTTCATGGCCCACTTTGATTATATACTTAGTATAGCTAGATTATCCTTATATTTATGCATAAGTTTGCATAGCGCTTACTCTAAGGTATCATGTG